GCTCTATGTCTGCTATTGTTCCCTCTGGGAGTGAGACCCCTTCAGCTGAGCATCTTAAAGCTGAAGATTAGCAATAAAATATTTCCTCCAACATAATGCCGTAAACACCAGTTTGAACTGTTGATTGAAGGAAGGATTAATGCTTTCCTGTTGCTGCCACCAAACTCTAAGCTCATCATCCAAATGCTGTGACTGAAATTTGGTTCAACTTAGTTAAAAAAATCCTGTATTGGTCCCAAAGGGAAATTAAATTTAATTTTAATTCCTGCTTATTTTCTTTTTAAATTATCCCTGTTTCTCTTAACAGGTGAGAACCTTGCCCTTCTAGGCAAAGCCACACAGTCCTCTCAGTACGACATCGGTGATGCATCTAAGGCCATCGATGGAAATCGCAGAAACAGGTATACTCAGGCTTCCTGCTCGCACACATCAAACGACCTCAGCCCCTGGTGGCGACTGGATATGCTGAAAACACGCAAAGTGTTTTCCATTAAGGTCGTCAACCGGGATTCATTTGAAGAACGGCTCAGCGGAGCCGAGATCCGTATCGGAGATTCTCTTGACAACAATGGGAACAACAATCCCAGGTAGTTTTCTGATTTTGTGAAAGGAAAGTTGTTGGTTTAACAACTCATTCAGTTGTTGCTGGTTTTATTAAATGTAGTGTCAGCCTTACGAATGCAATAAATATTATTTTCTGTTTTCTTTTAACAGATGTGCTGTGATCACAGTTTCTCTGGGAAAGAGTCTTTATGAGTTTGCCTGTAACGGGATGGAGGGACGCTACGTAAACATCGTCATCCCCGGCAGGAGCGAGTACCTTACGCTTTGTGAGGTTGAGGTTTACGGCTCCACGCTGGAATAAAGCCTGCAGTGGCAACAAATGGCTGTTTGTGTTGCAAACAAAACCCCGATGCTTCTGCTCAACAAAAGGCTTTCAAATGTACTTATGGTGTTGATTTTCAAAAATTATTTAATTTGTCTAGTTTCCAGGTTCTAATAAAGAACTGGACTCGAGTCTGAGTTGTGAGTGCATTTTATTTTATCTCCATTGACAAAAGGCTGTGTCAAGATCCAATTTGTTTTTCTAAGGGTAAAGTTTCAAAAAATCAACCAGGAGATTTGGTAAATGGGCCACGCCAAGTACCAGAATCACTGGTTTAAAGTCCTGGATTTCTACATAAACTCAAAATACTGTGGCTTCACCTCATAGGCCTCCATCCTTATGTAAGGCCATCTCTTGACCTGTGGATGTTTCTGAAGCTGGATTAAGTAATTTCAAATTGAGTAAACACTGGGTGGAGGACATGGTTTTATGACTCTGCTTTCCAGTAATGTTTGGGTACATTTTTCATAAGTGTACCCACCCAAAGGTTATTTCTATCTGAAGTGAAGCATATTTCACTGTGGGTTTGAAATGGGACAGATTTTTGCCAGTGACAGAACCTTCCTGAACTTAACCGGCTTTGGTGTGAGAAGGCAAATGTGCTTCATTATCTGCATTTTCTTGGGAACATTTTTTATGACATTGTTCCACTTAAATGTGAGAAAACTCTTTTAATCTCTGAATTTTTAGAAATGACCTTCAGCTAAAAGCCTGAGGAGATGCAAAAGTTTATTTATTTATTTTTTACTTCAAAACTGTAAAATCAAATCGAGCCCTTAACATTCAGAATATGTCCAAATGAAAATGCAAAAATTCGACTTGGTTCTAAAATGAACTGTTCATATTTACATCTTTATTCAGCAAATTTGTCAAGTTGAGGCTTGTTTTTTTTTTTTTTGAACATTGTTCTAAAACTAAATTATGTAGACTAAAACAACACAAATGTTTTGACATGATTTAAACATGGAGTCTATTTGGGTGGAGGGAAATAATGTAGCCAACAAGGGAACTGTTTTCATTCTACATCAATGCTACAAATGGATCAGAGCTGATGCAGAACTGAAGTGTTTTTGGTGCTTTTATAAAATCGTATCTATGCTTTAAACAATTTGGACCAAAATTGCTGCTGTTGTTGCCAATATATATCTGCTTCAGTTAATCACCCACAATCCTGTGCTGCACCAGCCCAGTTTTACTTGGCACTGCAGTGCTAATGCTGGCACTTTGAGCCTCTCTACTCTAGTAAAGACACGTGTAAGTTAAAGTACCCTGAATATGTAGCTTTAATAACAAGACTTCCTTTGGCAACAAACAATAATTCAAGAAACACAATATGAACCATTTTAAAGGCTAAACATCGGTATTTTACAAAACAAGCATATAAAAAGTTGTACCAGGGCAGTTTGAAGATATATTTACATTTTTTTTTACCATATTCGTCCCTAAAAAAAACTTCCAGATTACAAGTTACAAGGGCTCTTTTCTCACAAGAAACTGTCTAGATCTTTCAACACTGTATGATATGTATTAGATTTAAAAAGCCTCCAAACAGACACATCCTAAAATCTTGAAGTTGCATAAAACTGCTCACAGAAATAAATTATAAAAATACTGTACTACAGAAAAACCTTTTCACTGTGCATAACGATAGAGGAAATTAGCTTTTTTTTTTTTTGTCAAGTTTGCAGCAAACGGTATTGCTTCACAGTATGTGGACATCACCGACAGTTTCTGACTGAAGCGACACTGATAAAGTTAAAAATGTAGGAAGGAGAATAGAGATGAATCCTTTAAAACAAGGAATAATCGTACCGGAGCCAAAGCAACAAGCTAAGTGAGAAACAGTGATACGTTTTGGCTTCCTCATAGATCCGGACATGGACACAGTGACGCTTCTGCATCAGAAAAAAATACTGGAAAGTCACAAATACTGGGCTGTGAGGGCAGAGACTCAGGCTGGATTTATGCCATTTTTTTGTGTCCTACTAAATACCGACACCACAGGTGTGGGAAGAAGAAACAGAAGTGTGAAACCAGGATAAAAACGTTTGCTTGAAATGAATTTGGTTTGGTCCCGTCTCCCCAGAGCTGTTATCTCAGGTCTTTGGGGACTTCGAGAACTTTGTAGACATCGTTGGAAAAGACAGTGGTGAAGTACGGCCACGGGTCGTTGGACATTTGAGTGCAGAAGGGAGTTTTCTCGACGTTCCCGGGGTCCTCTACGTCCCAGATCTCCGGCATGCTGCACCCGGGCCTGAAGAACAGAGACAAGGATGAAGATGAGCCCACAGCCCTAACCAGAGAGGAGGGGTCTGGGCTGGGCTTACCTGGTTCTCCTGGTGCACCAGGAATCCTCCAGGATGAAGAAGTCCACCCCCAGCTTCATCAGGTTTCGTTGAACTGTTTCACCAGACATGCGGCTGTACATGGAATAGACCAGCTTGGTTCTCTCCCTGTGAGGAAGCATGGATTTAAACGTTACCGTTGACAGAGTTTATACACTGTTCCCATGGCAATACTCAAGCACTTTTCAAGCTTTTTCTGCACTACACTTTGGAGACAAAGGCAAAACAAATGAATGAAAGAAGACGGTTTCAATTCACCATTAAATCATATAATTCATTGCTGTTTTTTATTGGGCTGCACCGATCTACTTTTTTCACGTCCGATACCGATGCAGATATCTGAGATTTAGTATCAGCTGGTTCCGATATAAAATAAACCGTCCTGAATTGACTTAAAATGCTTTCCTTTCCTCTTTAAAACACAAACATAAATGTATTGAATTCTGAATTTATCAATTACTTTGCAGCGATACAGCACACTTAAATTCTAACTGACATAAAATAAAAAAAGTTTGTCAAATTTAGCTTCAGACAGTGAGACAAAAAAAAATGTGAAAATATCTGGTTTCAACTGCAAATAACGTAAAATTAGGCTTTTCAATCAAACATTAAATTACTTTATTAAAAAGCTGTGCAGCTTGAATATAAAGCACTTTCAGAATCAGGATCAGAAGCACAAAGAAATTTGCTTCAGTACAGGCCGAACAAAAAAAGACAAACAACATGAGAGAAGGGTAGACGGGTGCCTGAGGCTGCAGCCATCATGCAGAAATTAAACACTTTCCAACCCATGAAAACTTCTAAATGAAACTCAAACATTTTCAAGGATTTCAAGTAAGTGTGCACTGATTTATCGACCAGCAAATTTATCAGAGTTGATTTCTTGAATTTTTGGAGATCGGTGATCGGCCGATGCTTACATGAAAGCAGATCTTATCCACCCGTCTCATCTACCTCAACAAAGGCCTAAAATCTGTTCTGCTTTCCTGTGAGAGGTTTGACTGATAAACCGGCCCACCAGGTCATGCTTACAGTTAACAATAGTCGCCAACTCAGCAACTTTTTTGAAATAATTAGTGGCATTTCAGACAAAAACATCTAAATCGGCTAAAATCGGAATTGGCAGGTCAAGATCCGCAATCAGAGATCGGCCAAAAAAAAATTGCAATCTGTGCATCCCTAATTTCAAACCCTGCATTAAATGCCGATCGCTGCCTACGTATCCATGAAAACAGCTCAGAAACATGAATATCATGAAGTGTGAAAAACTCCTGGCAGCTGAACTGACCTGAGACCAGCGTCTTCGTAGTGGGGGTGGTTGACGATCGGCCGGCCAGCAGAGAGCTTCACGCTGGCCATGGTGGGCATGGCTCCAGCAAACACCGAGTCTACACACAGAACCACAACACAACCCAGTGGAACCAGTTAGCAACAGAGCTGCTGTATGTGTCAAAAGGAGATTTTCAGAGTGAATTTAATAGTATTTCTTGTGAAGCTGTTGACTCACCAGGCTGGGTGTTTTCCTGGATCCAGTCCAGCAGCTCCTCCTGCGGCAGGTTGCTGAACTCTCCAATGATGGCCCACTGGGCCTGCAGGTTGGCCACCCCCTGTACGGCCATCATGCCCAGCACGGTGAAAACTGCAGCCTGATGCTTGAACCTCTCACCGATCCAACCAAACAACTGGGGAAGGGATGGAGATTTGATGCACAACATGCAGATGGGGTTTTAAAAAAATGCTTTTTGCAGTTATGAAATTCCCAAAGTGAAATGAGTTTAGCTCACATAGACACAGAAAGTGTTAATTTTGATTACTGTAGCTTACAGCTAATGTAAAAATGTGGTTTCTTATATCGTTGTAACTCTACATAAGGCCAATAAAAAAGACATTTTTTAAAATCAGAAATGTCAGGCATAGTCATGTTCTGTACAATATAAGTTTACAGAGTGTTCACAGTCCTCCCAGTATTGTGGTCATGAATTTTGCTTGTGCACCTTTTCCAATTACAGTTTTTCCTTCCACTTGACTTTCCATTAAAATGCTTGTATACAGCGCTCATTGAAAAAGCAAGTGTGTCCATGACTGTCCTTTTTTACAATTGTACACGTCTTATGATTAAAACTACCAACAAATTATATTTTGGTTTTTCAAAATATCTCCGATCGTCTCAAATTATAAATGCAAGATGCAGAGGAGCAGTTGAGTTGGTAATACAAAGTTATGTATTTAAATATATGGAAACATGTGTTGGAGCAGGACAGGAAAGCACAAAATATCAAGAAGCAGGCGCTTCCAGAGTGTCATCAGTGACTCCGTTAAGTGTGACACAATTCCCACATTACTGTGTTTATTTAGTTTTATTTTACTGCACCTGCGGGCCAGTATTGTTCTAATCAGAGTCAGTGTTCAGGGCCCAGTTTGTCGTGTCTTTGGGGGTTGAGGCCCACCTGTCGGGAGCAGAGCAGTGACGCCATGATGCACATGTGCGGAGTGAGGAAGAGCTTCAGGCGCATGATGAGGATGGCCAGGACGGCGAAGGCCACCAGCTGCAGGCTGTGGTACACCAGCTGCACAAAGACAGAGACATGGATGAGTTCACGCTGACATTCACAACTTCTCACGCTTCCACAGCACACAAAATGAAAAAGACAGAGGTTGAGTGTTTTCAGTTTGAGACACTTTGTGAACAGGAGCAATATATATTGGGTGTCATTC